TGGGGAACGGCTTTCCCGGGATGATGTCAATGTCTTGGCAGAGAGGCATCAGTGGCGGTGCAGATTGAACTTGCTCTATTTTTTCTGATCACGTTGTGTATCCAAGACCTGCTACCTTTTAACGGGACAGTGCAAGTATATAGCAGGTTTTACACTGCATACAACACAATAATTACACCACACCGCGCGAAGTTGAAAGTTGAAACAAGAGCTATACATCTTTCCGGCATATCGATATCATCAAAATAGCAAGTCACAGACAAAACCCCTCAAATTTACAGCGTCCTATAGCAGAGCCCTCTATACACTATCCCCTAATTGAATATGCGTGTCTTCGTCTGAGGTACAAAACCCAAGTGTCGGCCCCAGCATGGGGACTTCGAAGCCGGCACTCCTTCAAGATCTCGAATCTTTCTCAGCATGGATGCGCACACGAGGTAATCCACGTACCTCGACGCGAGTCTTGAATCTCTTTACCTCTTCGATGCATTGGTAAACGGTGAAGGAACGTCCTTGGAAGATATCTCGCAGCGTGTCCCATCGCGAGAGAGAATTACGGAGGGTAATCTCGCGAATTTCCGACACCTCGCATTGCAATCTGCATGAACGTGGACGTCAGCCGCCACAATAAAGGCAGAGGTTGGGAAAGCACACCTGCGCAACATCGCACCGACCTGCTCATGAGATGTGTCGGAACCCGACAGCACCCCGGCTTCGACGGCGTCATGGTAGAGCTTCTCCGCATCATATAAGGAGGCGAGCAGAGTTTCTGTCAGGCGCGTCGGCGAGGCATGGCGAATGCCATATACGGTGATCCCTCCAATGATGATAGTCGCGACTAAAGCATTGGTTGTGGGTGTGCTTGGAAGAGTAGAGACAAAATAGGGAAGGGGGGTATTGCTCAGACCGGCAGTGGACATCGGAGGGACTTGTCTGGCTAAAGCCTCACCAACTGCTTTTAAGGACTTCGGCAAGGGAAAGGCTGTTCTCTCGGGCCAGCCCTTACACTCGTTTCCCGGCGCAGCTTCCGCTCGTGCCGTTCATCTAGCAGGGTGATCAAAGGGAATTCTGTAGGCGAACCAACTGACTGGGGCGGGGCGTAAAGTCCCACCGCTTCCCGAATGCCCGGGCGCAAGTGGCGACCTATAACGATCCGGCTTGCCAGCGCTTACACGCGCTTAGGCCGTTTCCTGTCCTTCTCAATTTACTTCACTCACAGAGTTCGCTTTGATCGACATACTGGATAGCATAAATTCCCACCGTCTCCGAATGGCCGGGCGCCAGTGGCGATCTGGGCGATAGCTCAGGATAGCTCAATTATTCGGGCACCAGGGGTCGCTGGGAACGTCGGTCGAAACTCGGAGGCCTTCACCAGTGCAATGCCGTGTTCGATGCCGCGGAGACTCCGGACAAAAATGAAAGCTGACTTAATCGAGCCGTCGAATGCTGTTAAGCAAGGACCGATGAGATTGTGCCATTGAAATGCTGTTGCAAACCAGGATTAGACGACACCTTAAAATGCTAGTTCCCTGTAATTTCGGTACGGTAATATATATGGCGTCGCCGAACCGCGCAATTATGACATGGATATCGCTCTTGTATGATCATACCATATCCTCCGGACCCAGCGCCGCCGCCGCGTCACCCCGCCCGTACTGGGCGAGAAGGACGCGGACGGCGGGCGATGCGCGATCCACGAATCATTCGTATAAACCCATCCATCTAAAAGACAGAAATAGTCAATCAGGAACGTAAAAAAAGCCAGGCACAGGAGGAACACACCTTCGTCGCCGTCCCCGATGCCGCCGTCCGCGGCCCACCGTGCCCCGAGGTCCGCGCGCCAGTCCTCTGTGTCGACGAACGCCCAGCCGGCGTCGAGCGAGAAGGTGAGGTTGCTGCTGTGTGGATGTCGGGTCAGCGCTGTCCCGTGCATGCGGAACTTCAGCTTGAAGAAGAAAAGGGGGCGAGACACACCTGACAGCGCCCTGCCTACCGACGCCGCTCCAGCCGTCGCGCCCCCGCGTCCAGCCTGTGCGCTCTCCGTCCCGGAGGTTGGCTTTGCTCCACTCTTGCTGGGTCGAATCATCCGCTAGAAGGAAACAAGTCAGAGGGGCGGAGACTGGGAACGAGGATGGAAGCGGAGGGAGGAGGGCACCCACCAGCTCCAAACCGCTCGTTCTCGAAGAGCTCGACCTCCCGCATCTCTGCAACCCAGCACTCGTCGGTGAGATTGGCGTCGTCGATCAAGCGTACGCCGAGAGACTTCCAGGACGGGGGGCAGGTCCCGGATCCGCCATTAAAGAGCTTGCACCGGAGTTTAGTTAACAAGGGGCTTGCGTCGGCGTGGGAGACGGCCAGCGCGAAAAGACTGGGGAGGAGCACGCGGATGGTCGGGTGGGTGAAAAGCAGCGGCGCGATGCCCAAGAAGAGGCATGCGCTGCGCACTGGGAAGGCCGGAAGCGAAACTAGGGCGATCATGGGGAGGAGTGAGATGAGTGACAGGGTGAGGATATGGGGGGTGTGGGGTTTGCGGTGGGTGAGATACGGGATGTACGGCTGCAGCGCGGTCTCGCCGTCGGCACTGTAAAGCAGGTGAATACATTCAAACAACTAAGGGGATTCATATGGAGCTTACACGAGTCCCATGAGGTTCTGTATAGCCTGGATGTTCGCCTGCCAGTCCACCGACCCGGTTTCTGCCGGAACTTCCGGAGCTGGGGGCGGCTTGTGCCTAGTTTCGGGATGCGTGGCAAGGATGATGGCGATGAGGATTATCTGAGGGAGGAGAAATAGCATGCGGGGAAAGTAGCCTACTTCAGATTAGCTGCGGCTAGACCGTAGAGGGTTGCGACATACAGAAAAAAGCATATGCAGCTATCCAAACGCCAGTCACTTTCCATCCTCTTTTCCAAAGAATGATCTCTTCTATTCTATCTTGCAGCCAGAAGATTGGGCCAACCCGTTCGATGAACCGCTTAAAGTTGACGGTCAAAATGGGCACAGAAAGAGGATCGCGGGAAGACAAGAGCGTGTTTGACTGCTGTTTCCCGCGTGGATTGGAGGGCCCTTGCTGGGGTGGGCTTGAAGGCAAGGAGGAAAGTAGGAGCTGCGGCAACAAGTTCACGGCAGTCTTCGTAGGTGATGTTATGGACGAGGCAGAATCGGTGCGACGGTGCATGAGTGGAGGAGGGGGATGGGGAAGGGAGGTGAGAATCTTGGGTGCCCTTCGTATCTGGTTGTTGGGTAGTTGAGCCTGCCGCAGACGAGTCGCGGACGCAGGCACATCGATATAGTCCATTGTCGACATTTGCGGCTCTCGTCAAGTTGCAGCTGATGACGTAACTTTGCTCCCAAATCTTATCTTATCAGGCTTCCTCTCGACTTCCATGACAAGCGCCTTGTATAAATTTGGAACAAGTCAGACCATATACTCAAGACCCACAGTTGGAACCGGAGGCCGTAGATGCTACTGAATAACTGCTCGTATACTAATACTTCCGGGCACACCATCATGATTTGGCTACGGCGTCAAACTCCGGACCGATTGTCGCCGCCGCCGCTCCTCGACACGGTCAGTACTCCGCGCTACTACGAGTAAAAGTATACTGCCCACGGGATCTCAAAACGACACTGACTGATGCTATATGGAAATCACAATTACTACAGTACTTGTCCGTATCTGGCTGGCCTCTGCATACGGCGTTCTCTGTCCAGCTACTGGCACATGTGTGATATCAATACTTCCCACACACAATATTGGCACGGCGACCTCCAACGCCACATTTATGGCACCATATTTCCATCCATCTGGAATTCGTTACAGCTCTGTGAAGCGCCGTGGCATGACTCTTAACATAAATAACGGTAGTACCATTATTTGCCCGTGCTACTATATAATCACACAGGTGAGCTGTAGGATGTATCTCTCCTGCTCCTCAAATGTCTGGTATCGGCGAAGCCTCTCTCCCCATCTTCGCATCGCTCCTGCCGAACACCTCTGCGACCAACATTTTCCTTGCCTCATTCATTCTCACCTCGGCCACGGCGTACATGATATTCGTCGCCTCCCCAACGCGTTTAACCCGCATCCTAGTCACCCTCCTGGATGAAACCGAGAAAGCGTACCTCACCGCGATCGAAGCCGGCGTGCTCTGCGCATGCGACGTCCAAGCGCATGAGATCTCCAGGTTAGCTTGACAAGTTCGGGTGCCGGCGCCGGATAACCCACCTCTTGGCCAGACTCCGGATCAAGGTCTCGGAAATTCGCGAGGCCACCCTCCGCGACTCATTATCCAGCCAGAAAGCGCTGGGCAGCTTTATGAAAGGCCGATCGTTCACGCTGTTTCGATGCGTCCGCGACACTCAGCGGTTTAAGACGGGTATCGAGGTTTGCCTCTCCGTTCAAGTAATCCAGTTCGATTTTTTCATTGAGTTTCAAAGATATTGATAGAAGAGCGGCTGCGAGACCTCAATTCTCCCGGGGCAAGAGGAAGGACGTGGGGTACGTCTCTTCTCAGACGTCGAGTGCAGTCCCAGGTTTCCGGTATTTGAGTGAGTTTACCCTGCGGTCTCTGATGTTCCTATGATATCAGTTTCCGGTTCACATTATTTATGGAGAAACCCAATGGGAAGGAGAGCTGTAAATTAGCTGTACATGGACCCGAAATCTACATGCCTCTACCTCTGCAACTCCATGACTCATGTTCAACAGTACGCAAATACGTGTATTTGGTATGACGACTTCCATTGGAGAAACACATTGAGTCAGGAATGACCCTTTCTTCTTCGCTGATCCCTTCGGGTTTCAAAGACCAATTTATAAGAAAGAACTCTCCCCCCTACCAAAAAAAGTGCGGTTAGCCTACGATCTGCAAAATTAATCAGAAAACTGTGTAATGGCCTGTTCACCACCAATTTATTGTATATGGTGCGCCATTAATTTCATGCTACTTACTTCTTTATACTACTATCGACAACACCAGAAAGACGGTGAGAAGGGCGGTGAGATGGCCGAGCGGTCTAAGGCGCCAGCTTAAGGCGGACTTGAAGTTTGATTTCGCTGGTCCGAAAGGGCAGGGGTTCGAATCCCCTTCTCATCACTAATTTTTTCATGAAAACATGAAGATAGTTTCCTGCAAGAATGGACAAGGGAGATCAGGGTTTTTCTAGTAGTTGAACTGACGATGAAGGAGGTTAAGTGGCTTTTGCTGCCGAACCGACTGAGCAAGCAAGGTCGAAGCCCACATGCCGTGCAGTGGATATCATGCACGAGTGCGAAAAGGTGCAAAAGCGCATTTTCTCGTTCCTAACATGGTCAATCACCGCCGACTTCCTAATGTGGACATCCGGATTCAGCTGTGCTTCGACGGCGTGCCCCAGAAGGCAGTAGCAGGAGCGTTGGTCACAACGTGATATGTACGTACAACGGTGTCAGAATCCCCGAAGTGGAGTTTGATCTTCCATTTATGCACACACAAGTTAATATTCCCAGGCGGCCAACGGTAATAAGTGGCTGAGAATGGTGAACAAGATAAAAGGAGGATGGGTGGCTGGTTGGCAAGTGTATCTTCGCTCTTACTCCCATCTTAAATCCCGAGAACCTCCAAACCCCACACCTCATCCCAAATCAACATGCGCGTATCCACAATCTTCACCCACTTCGTCAAGTTCGGGAAACATCAAGGACCTTGTCGGCTCCAAGAGAGACGCAATCAACTTCTCGTATGCGATTGCCACCCTCGAAGCCGAGCTCGCGGATCTCAAGACGGCGGCGGTAGATTTGCTCAACGTCAATCGAAGGGCCCATTTCATACCTCGACGACGCAATGGAGCAGAGGAGCGCGGGAGCGACAAGTTACGCCGCGCTCGCCACCGACGCACAAGCTGTCATCGACTATGGTATCTCTCATTTCCAGGCCCTCCTCGAGGAGTTGCGCCGACGCGAAGGCCTGCGAAACTCAAATCCAGCTCATGGAGGACGTCAAAGACAAGAACAACGTCATCGAGGAGCAGGTTGCACGTATAAGCGCCCTCTTCAAGCTAGATACCGCTGCGGAGGAACGATCGACACCCTCCTGGCCAAGATCGTCAAGGACGGAGGCGCGCACCGCGCCGAGCTGTCAACCGCCGCGCGCGCTGCCGACGACGCGCAAGTCAAGATTGCGGGGCTCAAGGCCAAAGTATGCGAGAATACGTCCAGCCGCAAGACAACCCTCGAGTGCACCCACGCCGCCCACGAGCTCATCAGTGCCGGGATCATCCAGCAACAAGCGTCGCAGATGGCGGAGTCGGAGGCCAAGCTTCTCAAGGGCGCGGCCGAGCGCGAAGCGGAGCTAGAGGACCTCAAGTTCGCCGCAGCCGCCCGCAACGACACCACCACGCAGACCATCGGTGCGCAGGCAGCAAGAGTCAAGTACCCCGAGGCGACCGTCGAGGAGCAGAAGGCCACCGCCGCCGCAGCACGGGTCTAGCAAGGCCTGTAAGCCGCCAAGTCCGCCATCCAAGCCGGTGCGATCAAGGTACTGCGCTCCGTCATCGAGGAGCTCAAGGCCAACGATGTGACGGCAGTGGGAGTACTCCTCACATGGGACGCTCAAGCCGCCGCCGACGCCAAGACCATCCGCAAGAAGGCGAGGAAGGTGGCGAAGTTGGAGGCCCACATCGCCGCCAAGGACGTCGAGCACACCGCGCAAATTGCAGACCTACAAGCCCAGGTCAAGAGGCTGAAGGCGAACACCGTGGAGGGAGCGGGGAAGGCGGTCGTGGGGCAGCTGCATGTTACCAACCGCATTCAGGACCTCGAGAAGAACCTCCACGACGCGGACCGCAAGGCGGAGAAGACGGCGCGGAAGACCAAGGCCACGGTTGCTCACATCGCCGTCCAGCATGCCAAGGAGCTCGCCGCCTCCCGAGGTGCTCTCGCAGCCGACCTCGACACCGAGATGGTCGATGATCCTGACAATGCTCTCGCCGATACCCCCGTGCCCGCCGCTCCCGCCGAAAAGACTGCGCCTCCGTCGACAGCCGAGTTTTCACTGGACTGCCCGGTCCACTTTTCGACGCGGTTCGTCGTGCGTGCCGAGTGGCCATTTGCGCAGGCCAGCATTATTGCGCCGGGCCGCTTCGTCAAGACCGAGAGGAAGATCGTGCGGCGTGGGGGGGTTAGCGAAGTGACACCACCACTGCCGCCGGCGCGGCCCGCGTGCGTGGGGAGGCCAGAGGACGACCGGGCGTTGTAGCGGGCGAGGCGGGATTGAGGTGCGAAAGAGAGGATTGAAGGAGATCGAACGCGGTGACGAGCAGAGCGACGAAAATCCCCTTCACCCTCAGGATCGCACCACCTGCGCATCAACAGCAAGGTCTCTGTACTCTTTCGGGCGTGGTATGATTTCTTTCGTTGATTCAGACTCGACGAGCATCTAAGAGTACGGAAGTGAAATGGTTGCAAGGGAAGCAGGGTTTTGAACTATGCGCACATGAGCGATTAATTTAGTGATGGAAAGCGCGCATCGCATCTGCATGGTTCTGAGTCCTGAACCCTTCACTCCCACTAGGATAACGCGGGTTCGAAAAGAATCATATTCGGAGACTGGGAAGCCACAGAAAGGCCAAATGTAGGTGTCGTTGGGCTGAATTTGGGCTGGCACGGTGAGAAGAAACGAGTGGCCAAATCGTCCAAAAATCGTCGTGGTGGTGGGAAGAAGAGAACGCGATCATGTGACTCGCTGAGACCAGATATTGTCCAAGCGCGATCACGCTAATTCAATGCTAATTCGCATGGGTGACGTTGTTGTACGCTCGGATTACAAGAGTAAATCGATCTTAATTTCAAAAGTAGAATCCGATAAATAGCCACAGGCTGGCATCGAGGCGAACAGATGAGCGCCTCGAATCTGCACAAGAAATCAGTCTCTGGTAGTGAAGGAGTAAAGCGCATACCTTGTGGGAGGCCTATGGGAGTAGATAGGATATCCTGAACGTCAGAAAACGACCTCATCGTGGGCGGCGCGCAAACCAGAAAAAATACTAACCTCGGTGCATCGCGGTGAAGAGGGTGTTGCAGAAGGAAGAGAGGTGTGGAAGCCGTCAGAGTTATTGGCACAGATGAAAGGTAATTTGAACCTTTTTCCACACGAGCGTTCTTCGCGCTGAGGAGACCATCGCAGTTGGAGGATCGCATGAGATGGTTCGAAAGTCGTCAGAGTCGTGAGACGCAGATAAAAAGAAATACGAACCTTTTTGCATGCGTGTTCTTCGCGCAGTCGGACCGCGGAGGAAGGTTGAAGATCGCGAGAGTCGTTGAAGGTGCAGATACAAAATAATAGTCGTCAGAGTCATAGAAAACGCAGATGAATAGAATACTCACCTCGTTCCATGAGTGTCCCTCGCGTACCTCCGCCCTGAAGATCTCCCATAACTTCAACGGTCAATCCCCGCCTGGGTAACCGGGCCGACATGGGAATTACGCCACAGGATCCCGGGACGCCAATCCCTGCCTGTCGAGTCCCAGGTCGGATGCACAACCACCTGCGATACGCTACCGCCAAAGAACAGTGACGATGTGTGATCTGCTCGATGAACCGGGACGGCGCAACATCGTGGTGTCGGTTGGCAGGGAACTCGACAGTACTGAGACAGCGCCGTTGGATAATCCCTTCAGCGGCCACCCAACATTCCGGGCTTGCTTGAGGTCTTGGCGGTGCTCTAGACGGGACATGAGCAAGGAAAGGAATCTAATGGATTGAGAACATACCGTGGAATCCGCGGAAGAATACACTTGTCGTCGTGGAATGTGGGGAAAGAGGCTGACCGGGGTCGCGCTTTATATGTTTTCGAATCTAAACTCAGCTCTCAACTCCGCTCGTTGGTATGAACCAAACAGGGCACGCAGGCGCGACGCGACGCGTTTGTATAAAGGCCAAACAAATGTCACAGTGACGGGTTTCCTTCCGCCCTCCACGTACTCGAATGAATGAATTCACTTTTCTTGCCTTTTTTGAATGCGTGGACGCAGTGCACGACTACGGACGTAAGACCGTGATTGCATCAGGCCCGGCAGCAGTGTTCGCGTATCAGGCTATCAGCAGCTATCAGCCGCCTTCTCCTTCCCAGTTCCCACACCATCCGCTTCGGTCTAGTGACGTCCCTCTGTCCAACTCGAGGTTCAGACTGCTTGATTCAGAGCGCGCTACGAGTCTACATACTACATACTAGTAGGTTCAAGTTGGAAGACCATGCGTCGGTTCTTCAGACCTCGGAGCACTCGATCGACGATGAGGGTCCTACTCGCCCGGTTCTTGTCCCAGAGCTCGCGCAGGTGGCTAACCTACCCTTTCTCGTCTTATTATCTGAAGCCACCATCACAAGTTCTCTCTCACAAAGATTCTACAGCTCTATAATACATAAATGAAGCATACATACATGTGTTAGATCCACCTCGCCTACCAATAATCCGCCCGCCGATGCGGTACCGCCTCGTCCTTGCCCCGCTTCTTCTTTTCCGCCTCCCACTTCTGCACCCACCGCCCCATCTTCGCGCGCGAGCCCTCGCTACCCACGTTGACCGTCGCAATCATGCGGCCCCACCGTAGCGACAGCGCGAAGCACGTCAGCTCGAAGAACGACGAGTGCTCCGAGTACGGCACGGGGATCAGCTGCAGCGCCGCACTCGGGCTGCGCGCGGGGCGCAGGTTCGCGTGAGTGAACGTCTTCTGCTGCGCGCTCGAGATGACGGACGCGATGCTCGGCGACTGGACGGTCCCCGCGGGCGGGCTGTACCTGTGAACACAAGGGCATGAGATACATAACAAAAGTACACCGAGGAACACGGACGTCCACCCCGTGGGCCGGAACCCGACCACCCTCGTAAAGGCCCCCTTGAAGCGCTCGAGGTACAGCTGGAGTTTTTCCAGCGAAATCATGCCCAGCGGAACGACGTGCACGTCCGCGCCCAAGGGATCGGTCGTTAGCAACGCGTGCAGCTCCGGATCCGGCTGACAGCGCAGGATCGCCAGCTTCCGCGGGTCGCAGTATATCTTGGAGTTGATGGCTTGTGCAACAGCTAGCAGACGAATGGATCAGATCCCATTAGAGTTTGGTG